AGGAATGAAAATAATTTGAGCTTATTCTGTCTGCAAGGAAATTAGCCTGAAAATCAAAGGGGTTCTGCAACATGAGTGAAAGCTGTTGTTCGTTACTTATGTAGTGCAAAGTATTGCAGAGCTAGTCCAATTTCAAGTGTACAGGTAGTATCGTCATCACAAACATCATCACATTAGTCTTGATTAATACTCTTTTACTTGATTTATGTACAGTCCCTTAGGAAATGGGCCAGTCATTTCATATTTTTGTGATGGAATGAAGAAGGTGAAGATTTATTTCTCTTAGTGAAATACTGTTGTGTGTGCTGAACACTTTATTTTTCACCAAAACATTTAAAAAAAAACAAACCACGACATAGAAAATAACTAGCACAATTAATTTAATTTAAATAAAAGACTTAATTTCCTTTGATAATTTTGAAATTACTAGTCTACTATTGTTAATCTTTTGCCAACTGCTGTCATGGAATTTGAAAGGTAGAAACTGCCATGTTTAGACATACTGTCTACTGGATTGTGAAACAGCAGCAAAACAAGCGATAAAAAGGATGCATCAGTTTATCTTTACTAAATTCTTTATCTACTCAATACATGAATCTATCATTTTATTATTGCTTTCTTAATAAGAACCTAATTTTAAAGGTATGTCAGTATATGTTTAAGAATCTCAGGATATACAATCAAGTTAATTCAGTAGCACTACCCAGATACCAACAGTTCATCCCATAAATGTCTTGCTGAAGAAGGGCCATTGCAACTGGCTTCTAATGTAGGCACAAGTTAAGCTTATAATGCACCATGGATAACATTTTGTACAGAATCAGTGTTAAACCTGTATTTGTTTCTCTGCTCTTTCTGGTTGATACTATAGCCAAGTCCTCTCAACTGATTTTAATGCTTGATGTTTTTATGCCATTGATTCTCTTTTATGGGTTTTCTCTACTTTCATACACCTGGAATATTCACCTTTCTGTTTCCAGAAGTGCAGTAAGAAAGCAAAATTTATCTGCAGTGCTTAACGAAAGGCTTCTCTATCTCTAGTCCTTTCTTTCTCTGTTTTCTTACCATGTGATCTCTTTGTCTACATGTTTCAGCAAATGATTATGAGAAAGGACAGCTGTTGCCTCTGTAAGCATGACCATCCATTCTCCTCTGCTTTTCCTATAGTAATTTGCTTCAGGGTTATTGCCTCTATTTAAGAGGGAGAGAAGTGCAAAAATGAAGAATTTCAAAGGAGGCACCAGCTGTAATGTTTTACCCCTGTTCATTCAGCTGGAATCTCCTACAGTAAGTTGCTGCTTGTAGCTCTCTTTTCCAACAAAATATCCTATAATACTTTACATAAGGTCTTTTTTCACTCCTTTTCACATGCACTGTTCACAGACTGGACAGAGATTATAATACAGGGCAAGCAATGATCCTGTCTGATCAACCTGTGTTAGTGGCCCTTCAACTCAGAACATTAAATTGTCTAAAGTTACATTGACATTTTGAGTTTCTGCTTTTAGAAGGAGATTTTAATTTACGCAGATATGCAGCCCCCAGGCAGATGATGAAAGATGTGTTGTAGGTACATAACAGATGCCCTGTTTGTAAAGCATTGTTGTTTCCTTATAAAACTGTATCACCACGTATTTTGTTGAACAACACTGGTAAAATTCCAGTCAGAGGATGATTTTGTAATCAAAGTGTGTTTGTGTTCAGTTAGAATTGCTTCTAGGCAGCATTCACAGAAAAAAACCAAAAACCCTGAAGAATAAATATTTAATTTTATAATAAATATAAAACATGGGCATTTTACCACCTATGTGTTGCTACATTCCAGTATACTGACAACAGTGAAGGATGAATCCCCTTGGCTAAAGAAAGAAAACTGGCAGAAAACCAAAACGTTTTCTCTTTATGGAACCCAAATGACACCCAGAGGTTGTTGTGGATCTGGCATCACTTCATAGCTGTTCTGTTTTCTGTCAATATCCTGAAATATGGAAAGAACACCTTTAAAAGTCTAGATCTGGACAAGAAATAGGCTTTACTAAACATCAGAACCCAACCAGTAAGCAATCCTTCAAAGAGGCTTTGATGGCAATTTCATCACTAATAGTTTAGTAAGTCATTCAGCTTAACTCTGCTTAGACGTCTTGACACATCAGTAACACACGTTGTTCATGTGGCTTCATACCACATCATCCTTTTGGAATAAAATAAGGTTCTTTAGACTTGTGAGTTATTATTTAGGTTATATACTATGCTTTGAGAGATAAAGATGCCATTGAGTGTATCTGGGAAAAAAAAAAAAAAAGTGATTTTTTTTTCTGGGTAATTATAGGCACGTTCTTTGTATCAGATTGAAGCTTCTTTTCATTTTATAAAATACTTTCTTCCACTATCATCAAGGTTGCTGACTTACAGTTTCTGTATCATTCATTATCTCTATTCCTCTGTCATGTCTTCTCTCTAAACCTGCAATCCAGGTATTTTCAATGTCTCCTTACATGGAAGTCTAAGTCCTGATACATAACCCTTCTGGTTACCAGCTTCTCAACTGCTGTTTCTGCAATGTCTTTTTTGAGATAGGGTGGTGAGCACTGAACACAGTCTTCCAGGTGAGGGAGTACTAATACTTTCTGTATTTTCTCTATGTTTCTCATCGTACTACCACACCTTTTATTTTCCTTTTTGGACACTAATAAGTATTGAAGATAGAGTTTCCTGCTTATTCATTTGTGTTTTTTTTCTTAGCACTCCAGGGTAAGCATAGAACTTCATTAGATTATCTATGTTATGAAGTCCTGGCTGTAAAAATTATCAAATTTATAAGAATGGGGAGTAATAAGCAAACAATGAAGGCAAGGACACAGGGATTAAATTGGAAAAGTATATACATATATTTACTAGCTTATTTTTCAGTAGTATTCACAGGTTTATGTATTTATATTGTATGATTGTCTTGCACATAATCATATAATTTTTAGTTGACAGCATTGTGTTGTATTAATGGCATTACAGACTACTAATACAGTTTATCTTTAAGGTTTTTTACACTTATTTAATGCTAGCATCCAGAAGAAATAAGATTCTCGTCTGTCTTTTTTCACATTTCAGACAGATACGTCATTATTGGTAGTCACCACAGCAGTTTGAATACATATGGTGGACAAGAATGGGCCAGTAGCACTGCTATCATCACAGCGTTTATACAAGCCTTGATGCTGAAGGTTAAGAAAGGCTGGAGACCTGATCGGACCATTGTTTTCTGCTCGTGGGGAGGAACTTCCTTTGGGAACATTGGTTCATATGAATGGGCGGAGGTAAAAAAATTTTAAGATTCATTGCAATGATTACTACTGTTGTGAGCTTTCATTAACTAGTCTGTGACATCTCTCTATGTGCATTCATGTGCTCCAGTAAATGCAGTGAAGACATCTATAGAGGCAGTTCCTGTGGAACAGAGCATGTGTGATAATGGGCTAGGAAGTTGTTCCCATAGCTGTGAAAGTTGCAAATACAGCACCTTTGTGAGCAGATTCCCTTCCCTACCTCAGCAGAGGGCTGAACAAGGGGGTATTACCAGAGTTTGGGTGAGAGAGGAAAACCTCAGGAAGACCTGGGTGCAGGAGCAGCTTAGAGGGCTTTTTCTCCTTCTTGGGGGTTCAACAGTTACGAATTTTTACTTGATAGGCTTAGTATGGGGTGGAGTGACTCAAGAGCACAGTGAATGAAGAGAACTATACCATGGTTTGCATTAATTACATAAACACTTCAATGTCTCCATGGCTAGGGCTGTTTAATTTTTTACATATTTGTGCCAAGGAGTTAGATAAATCTGGCACAGACAATTCCTTAGGCTTTTGCTTTCAGCAGAATAGAAATCAAGTTACTGAAATAAAATACCTCATCAGAGTATTGTTGATGATATATGATTACAGTAGACTTCAGCTGATGGAAGGAATAGTTAGCAGAGAGTTTCATGGCTGCTGAATTAAAACAGTAGCTAAAATGAAGAGTTAATTGTAAGAAGCAGCTAGCTCTTATGGAAGTTTCATACTTCCAACATGATTATTCTTCGAAACAAGATGGGGTGAAAAAAATCAAATTGAAAAGATCCAGGCTGGAAGCAAAATTTGTTTAGTTCCACTTCAAGTCAGCTTTACATCAGATGTAATTGCGTTACACCCCTTCTGCTCAATATAAAAAGCACTTCATGCAAAGAGTAACTCATTACTGAGAAGGCAAAGAGGATCTTTTTTAAAAGAGATAATAATTGAAACACTTTGTACATGCTATTTTTGTAGTCTACAACAAAATAAAATAAAAATGCTGGGAAAGTTATACAATTCAAACCTGAATGTGGTCTCTAACATTTTGAGTACATTTAACTGTTAATAAAGATAGCTTTTAAAGTTTATCTTCTGTCAGGCATAAGTTTAAAAGCCTTCTCGTTGTTTCACAGTATGAAATGTTTTCATTTTTGGCCTTTACAAGTGTAGTCATTTTTAATTCCTCCTAGGCCTGTTTGCGTTTTGTCGAGACAATGTGTGAAATGGAATTATAACTTCTGCTACACAGAGAAATAACACTAAGATACCCTTTGAAGGTCTTAACAGCGTATTGTAAGAAGTAGTAGTGAAGTAAAACTTGGCGCATCGCAGAGGACAAAAACGTAGGATGCAGTATTTCCCTAGAAGAAACTGAAAGGACAAATCGAGTCTTAATTATAATGATGCCTAGTAATAACCATTGCTATGCTTGTGTCCTAGGATCTGAAGAGAGTTCTTCAAAGAAATGTTGTGGCTTACGTTAGCCTCCATAGTCCGGTCAGAGGCAACTCAACTTTATACCCTGTTGCATCCCCTTCTCTCCAGCAACTGGCAACAGAGGTTAGAAGTAAAATATTTTCTTTCACATGTGGTTTATGAGGTTACATGTGTAACATCCTTGATGCTGGTTGTCTTTAGATAAAACTATAGGTGGAAGTTGTTTTTTTATAAGGATTTTAACTTCACAGATACATGTGGACTTTTTTTACTAAGTAAGCGGGTTCAATTTTAGTTTACAAATTGCAAGTTGCATTAAGAGGTTGGAAATGATAGCTTATTTCAACAGCTCATTATACCAAATACTGCCATACTTGCGTGCCCTACAGCTTTTTTGCCTTTTAGCATCTTTAAATAGCATTTTTATAACTTAGCACAAAGTACATTTTTCTCTTCCTAATCTGGTCTTTCCAAACTGTTTTGCAGTTTGCGTTTAAACCTGTATATTTACCAGATGTAACATGGCACACAGGGAGAGTATGACTCTAAAATAGTGTGTCGAGTTCAGTGCTCAGCTCCACATTTGTAACTAGTCTGCAGTCAGAACTTACTGTAGTTTTGCTGGTGTAGGTGCATGTAGACATTAATGACCTTATTGCTGTTAATCTGAAGTTGCTGAATTTATAAATATTTAAAATCAAATGCATGCAAGTTACTCTGTATAATTTATTTGTTGTAGGGTAATGTTAGTTATAATCAATGCCACTCTCATAGTTTCTGACATTAAAAAAAATGGTAGGAATTACTGCTTCCAAATGCTGGCTAGATTTCTGAATTCATGTCAAGTATATTGACAGTGATGCAACAGCCCAGCATGGGTCTTCATTTATTCCCATGGGTACTCACAATTTACCATATGTCTAGAAGATTTTCTCTGAAAGGATGATCATCTTGTAAAGAATACTGATCTTACTTCCAGCACTTGCCAAGAAGACAACGTAATTACAGATTACCTCCAAATTATATAGTGCAAATGGGGTAGGGTTTGTCTTTTTGGAGCTCATCTGATCTTGAAGAAATTATGAGTTCATTCCCATAAGCTTCTTGTGGAAGTTGCAAAGAACTTAAAAAGTCCAGTGAGACACAAGGATCATTCGAATTTGGAGGAGTAGTTCTCTGAACATAGGTTTGTTAGAAGATAAAAAGGTGAAACAGAAATTTAGAATTAATAACATCAGTATGTTTTAAAATAACAAGAAAAAATAACCAGTCTCTTTTAGTTAGATATAAAATTATGCACATGTGGAAGATACCACACTGTACCTTTGCAAAATTCAGTGGTAAAAATCACGCTTCCAATTTTAGGCTTCACAACAAACATGACTGGCTTACATTATTTTTTTCCTATTCCTGCACAGTTTTGCAACACTGTTTTGATGAGGGAGAGACTAAGATCTGCTGACCATTCACACTAAGGACAGTTAGGTTTCGTTCAATGCTCACTGTTGGGCTAAAATTGTAAGACAGAGGAAGAATGTTTTTCTAGCGACTATTAATACTTACCACAAATGCCTACAAAGGTTAAGTGTTAGGATTCTAGGAAAAGCAATAAAAAACTGTGGTTTGTCCTGCAAAATAAAACTGGAATAAAAATCATACTAAATGCAGAGCACTCCATGAATGCTTCAAGGACCACAGCTTAAAGAGAACTGTGGAGAAATGGCAAAGATAGGCAAGTGCATGCAACAGTGTTTACTTTCTGTGCTCTAAATATGTGGCTTTTTCTGAAATAGTTTTGGGCACTTGCTAATCACTACAGCTTCTGAAACAGTTTTTTTCTTAATTTCTTGAAACGGTAGGAAAAGTTGGAAAGAGGTTTTAGCAAAAATGTACTTTGTGTGAATATTCTAGACTTAACAATAAAAAGAAAAATCACAAACCTGATGAATTGTCTGCTATGTGAGGTCTGGTGGTCAGAGAATGAGGTAAGTGCTTGAGTAATTAACAGACTATGACATCTTCAAGATGTTTTATGTAAAAGGATTATGTCTTTATTTTAGTTGCAGATTTCAAAAGGGTGCAATCTGCAAATAATTTCATGTGCCTATCAGTGGGATTCTGGTTGAAACACCAAATTACTTGAAGAAGCTAAGTTAAATATTTGGATTAATTAAGCAAAGAGGAATTCAAACAATTCTGAGACCTTGACATTTTTAATTCAAATATTCTTCATATAACTGTGCTAATTAGTGTCCACATTAACAAGAGGGAAATACTGCCAAGTTATATTTTGCCTGCTATTATTTTGTAAGGAAAACAATTTTTTATTCACTTGCTCAGATAGTGAATCACCATTTGTTGGCAGTGTCGTTAGTAAATTCGTTTTGTTTGATGATGGCATTTATTCTCTGTAAATAAGGCCATTAATGAATTTTTCTATAATTAGCATTTCACAAGTTAAGAAGTTATTATGAAATGTAAAATAATTGCTCTTTTCTTTTAACTGATTGGATGACCACTGCTGATCAAGCCAGGTCTGCTGTTATTGCTGAACCCAGGAAAACTCATTGCTTCTTTCTCCTAAGGAAAAGAGACAATTAAAACTATAAAAAATTAGCTAAGCACTTTCCTTACCAGAAATTAGAAAAATACTCTTCGAAATATTTTTCCGTGCTATTTAGCAGCATTTAATTCTATTAATCTTTTGTATGTGACAGACAAATAATTTATTTTTTTTGTAGCACCAAGCACTTTTTAGTTTGTAGGTAAATGTGGAAAAAATGCCTCTGAAAAATGAAAAGCAGACCATTTATGTGTTATAGAGTAAAAAAGGTGAAATATTTTGAGTAATTGTAAGTAATTTAATAGATATAGCTAGAAACTCAGTAAAAAGGTAGTAACTTCGGCTACTAGGTAAGATAGAAAAGTTAATACAAAAGTGCTTAAAGTTATTCTGTTCTATCCAACTGGCACTAAGATGAGAGGAAAATTTATTTAAGGTAATTTCAACTCTCATACAACAAAGCTATAGTCTACCAAGTAATGATTTATGAACAAAAGAGAATATTATGTTATATAGAATAGACTGAGACAGTAGGCAGCGTACATGAAGTGCATAGTAGTATCATGTTTTACATTTCTGTATTTCATGCTAATTTCAAAATTGTTGATCGTAGTTTCCTTATTTTAAAAAAAGCTTGTATTGGCTGGTGTATTTTATTGTTTATGTTTTATTGGCTGCATTTAGTCTGCTTATCAAGCTTTGTGTGATGTTTAGATTTTTACTTAAAACAAGTAGTGGTAGGTGTTTGCAGTTGTCACTCAAAATATTTAATTAAATCCAAACACCACAAAAGTGTCATCGATCTTATTTAACCAATATCTTCAAGTAAGCTTGTAAAACAGCTGCCTGCAGAGCTAAAATGGAGCTGAATGTTCAGAATCGAGGGTGCTTTGGAACCAATTATATTGCAGTAGATACTTCTTTGGGGTTCTGGGGAATTGGGGAGTGGGGGATCATATAAAATCTTTCTCCTCCCTGTAAATGAGTGGATCATTGTTGTAAATGAAACTCAAAGATGTAGTTTGCTTGGTTTATTGTTTGGGGTTTGGTTTGGTTTTGTTTTGTTTTTCTGTAAAGGAGCTCAGAATTTTATTTTACAGATTCCAAGGTTAAGGGGTGATTAGGTAAAATGTATATACAAATTAACATATAAAGCACCTTTGATGATACAAAGCCTAAACTGGTAAGGACTTCAAGCAGTCACTATTCCAGCTTCTCATCCTACTGCAAAAATAAGTCTCCCTGGTCCATTTCAACTTCCAGTCTACAAGCTTCTACAACTTTCTCAGATGCTCTGCGCTTGTCTTCTATCACAGTAATATTAGGATTATTTTTTTTTAATCTATCAAAGTCATCACAGCTGAATATTAATCTATCTTTTCCCTTTTTTCGACTGGTGATCCTTTTTCTTTTTACAACAACCTTTTTATGTATTGAACAAAAGTTATCATTATACACAAAATAAAATTATACCCTGAAGATCAGCTTCAGTGAATTGATGCATCTCCCTCAACAGTAGGATGAAATTTGGTGGCTGAAATTAATTTATATGTCTCAGACATACTTAAGTAGTGTTCAGAATGACAGGTGCATAAGATATGCTTCGATACACGTGTATCTTGATTCTGTTGGTATTAATCCAAAGTGCAGATTTAAGTAGTTGGTATCTGCTTATTTCCTGATGTAGTAATTTGTACATCTCTTGAAAGTAGAAGTCTCCTTCGGACTGGTAGAACCAGTTATTGTTTCTTCGTGTCTGTGAGATTTAGCTCCAAAATGCATCTCCTTGTTCAAATTTTTTTTGTGAACTATGACTAGTAGAGTATTGAAATCTGGTAGTAGGGTGATGATTCTTGCATAGAACTGGGAAATGTTAGTGGCAATGAGCAACCGTTTTTGTTTCTGTTTTGGTGCTGATTGTTTCTTTAATTGAAGCATCCTCACATTTAAACTGAGGAAGTGTGGTCTGAATAGGTTGGGTAGTGAGGTGGATTGGGAACTGGTTGAAGGAAAGAAGACAGAGTTGTGGTCAGTGGGACAGAGTCTTGTTGCAGGTTGTGGAGTCTCCTTCTCTGCAGACATTCAAAACCCATCTGGTTGTGCCCCTTTGTAACTTACTCTAAGGGAACCTGCTCTGGCAGGAGGATCAGACTAGATGATCTTCTGAGGTCTCTTCCAGTCCCTAACATTCTATGTTATTACTTCAATTTAGGTATAGAAAGGACAAATAAAATTCAGTATACAAAAAGCATAAGAGAGAGAGACTTTCAGTAGATAAAGTTAAATGAAGAAAAAGTCCAGTAAAGGAAATAAATTTGCACTATATAATTTTTTTACTGCCTTTTTTATTTATTACCACTTTGAATTAAACTTTGCATATAAAATGTGGTTCAGCCCAATGAGGTCTCATTTGTTATAAAGACCTTACACTGATGGTTATATTTTTAAAAAACCTAAGACAATTATTTCAAAACATACAAATGCTGCTTAACAGAAAACAAAACCTCAAACAAGCAGTACATGTTTATGCTTGTCTCATGTTTTGTAGCTGTAAACTAAATAAAAAAGAATAGAAATTTATAAAGTAGTACAACATATATTTAAATATTTAACACCAATTATACATATTTCTTCATACTTTGTTCATGAACCACTGGCATTATAGCTTTCCAATTTTGTTAGGAAGTCATCGCTAAAGGTAAAAATTCTTTTTCACTTTTTTTGAAAGGTAAAACTGGAGTTTTAAGTATGGCATCTTGTCTTGCATACTTGCACTGAGTTTTCCTTGGTTCAATAGAAATCTGAATACAGTGTCAGAACTGGGACTTGGGTAGGCTCAGTTTGATCTGACCTTTTATAAGCTTTGTTGTCACAGTTTTCAGTTTCTTTTGCCCCCCTGGGTGAAAAAGGTCGTCTCTGTCATGCAGGATGCCTGCATGCATTTTCAAAGAGCAATTCTTTTAAAGCCATGTGGTTTATCTAAGAGGCAGTTTTTGCTTGTGAAAATACAGTATTATCTTCCCAGACAAGCTAAAAACCAGTTTATTCTTGCAATTTCCAGATGCCAGTGCTTTGTGTAAGAAAACAAAGTGCGTATTGTGGGGAAATTGCTGCGGCATTAATGGTGATCCTTGGCAGCCATAGTGATCTGTTTGAGAATCACCTGCATTCCAATAGGTATCAGAAGAATTTAAGATGATAAATTATTTATCCCAGATGTATTTAAATAAACACTAGTTCTTGTGAGAGTTGTTTTTCCCTAGTGATAAGATAATCGTATTAATGAAGTGTGTGTGCCTTCAAGGAACATCTCACGTTTGTTCTGATGATACTGAGGAACCAAAACTAGGGCAAATTTCAGAGAGTTAAATGCATGCTTTCTGTGACTCATTTTGCAGTGCTACAGGATGATTTCACTAGGAGGAGTCTTGTTATTCTACTCCTATTCTTGTAGTGCTTTGTTTAGATAATTTTACTTCATCTAGATGGTCTTATGCTTCTGCTTCTTAAGTGCATTTGCCTTGCACCAATTATCAACAGAGGTGGTGATTCAGCTCAAGAAATAGAGATTGATTATTCATTAAGAATAAGCTTCCTTGCTGTAGTTCTGAAGCTGAGATCACTGACATCTTGTAAGAATTCTAAGTCATTCTTTATTTGTCCTCTTGAAAACTACTTAGACATTGTAATCTGTTGTCAAAAGCTGCAAAGGTTTTAACTCTGCTGGAGTCACATAAAGGAAAGAAGGTAACCAGAACAGGTACATGTGAACTGTAGAAATGACCAATAAATTATTACTATTTTTTTTTAATATACGCTTTTATTTATACTAGGATATTAACATGGCAGCAAAAGGCACCTATGAATGCTTAGCTGAAATTAGTGGTAGAATAAAGTATATAGTGAAGTACCACTTGATTGTACTTCATAGTATCAGGTCTATTTTACAACATTAATCCAAATTAAATTTATTTAATGGGCCATATGGTACTCTTCATTTTCCCCAATTTGTAATATAAACCTGCAACATGATGCTGAAAGCCAGAATGAACTCCAGAGAAATAAAACTATTCAATTACTAATACCATGAGCATCTTTGCACTGACATGAACCACTCCTTGATTACAGTCTAACCACATGGCTTGATTTTCTTCCAGTCTAAAGGGAGGGCTTGATTGACACAGTGGAGACCAGCCTAAGCAACTGACTGATCCAAATAGTACTATTATGTGTGGTTTACTGTACAACTAACCAGCTGAATAAATGTAGTTTGCCTACTCTACAGTAGGGAGTTAGTTCTTACAGGAAATGTTGTTGATAATTTATTCTAGATGCATTTTTAAAGATGGGGGGGTTCCTACATGAAAGGTAACATTTAAAGGATCGTTAAATAGGACCTTACTGCAACTGGTGAAGTAATGCAAAGCAATTACAGTTGATCTTTTTTTTTTCCTAAACTGGGAACTCAGAAGTTGGTTTTGTGCATATATTAAAGATTATGTCGATTATCAGAATTAAATTTAATCAAATTGTGAAGTTACAAAGGGGTTTGGAGGTTTTGGAAATGACACCATTTTAGATTTAATAATGCAAAAAGACCAGATTAGTTGGCAAAGGGGAAAAAAAAAAAAGCAAAGGGAAAGCAGAATGTCAATTGCTATTACATGTTGACTGACAATTTATTTCGAATTGAAGAACTTGAAATTCTTTTCAATCCTGTGTTTCTGGCCTTTGGCATTGGTGTAATCTTCTCTCCCATCTCTGATTCTGTGGCCCACATTCCCTAGTAGGCTTTTCTTAGACATCACCTTCTTTCCTAGCAGCAGTCATTTATTTTATTTTTTTCAGTTTTTCGTCTCTGTTCTTCCTTGATGCCTACTTGGCTTGCAGTAAGGATGAGGCATTCTCTGTCCAAGCAGGGAAGCTGTCCTGCCTGTCATAAATTCCAGTTACAATTTGGGAAAATGGTCTTTCCCTGATTTCTGACTGCTGCATGTTGAAAGAAACTTGAGATGGTGCTTGTACATTTTGGTAGGAGGTATTTTAAAGTAATTTTCATTGAGAATCTGCAGCTCTTATTTATACTGGGTAATGTGCAATTGCATTCTTCATGGCACTGAAGTGAAACTGTGAAGCAATAATTATGCTAATTTAAAAATGGAAAAATACCAAGATTTGTCTCTTTCTAGCTCTTAAACCTCTTTCTTCCAAACTTCAGGAACTTTAATAGACAGACTCTGCTGTACTTTAGTATAAAAGGAAAATTAATCTTTACACAGTTTTTGTGTCTAAAAGTACTTTAGTAGGTAGGTCTGAGGAAGTTATACTGTATAAACAGTTAGCTAAATGTAAATAATCTGTAGTACTTCAACTTCTTAACATTCTTGAAAACCTAAGTAGCTTTTTTGCTCTAATATATGTTCAAAGTCTTTCTGCCTACTGTTTATTAAGTGTTTAATTACATAATGAATTTGAAAGCTACCCTAGTATGTGACACTCAGTCTTCTTTTCCAGTTTTGACTGATACTTACTGTAATTCTGTTGTTAAGATTTCATCATTAAAGACTTTCATGAAATACAAACATGTCATTGACTATGATGTTTTTAAGCAGTTTATCCAGAAAATGTGTATTTATGTATCTTTAGCCTTTTAATTGTTTTTCTCTTAACCCCTACTCTGCAATTGCAGCAAATTATTTACATTGGTAGCATTTCATAGACCATGAATCTTGAATATCATTATCTGTTTAAGCTTTTTGCTTTTAGAGAGTATGCTATTAACTGAATAAATACTCCTTAGTAGCCATTAAAGATCTCAGAATGTGTTTCCAAAAGGTACCATGATGACATCTAATCTCCTGGCCAGTGTGAGACATTTCATAACCCCACCAAAGACTTCTTCTCTTGCCCCTCCTAGCATTTCAACTGGAAATCTTTCATTGTCCTTTGAAAGACTCAGCCATGTTGCAGCTCACTCTTCATTCTCTCCTATGTTTGATCTCAAAGATTGAAGAATATATCATTGGAGGCTGAAAGCTTTTTAAACTCACTACTGATCAGCTAATACTTGTTTGCACTCGTGTAAGTTTCAGCCTGTTTCTCAAATGCCTCAACACAAAGAATGCTGTATAAATGAGAGAGTGATATGAGTTGTTATGAGTCTGGTTGCAAATAACTTAAGTAGAATTTTGATTTGTTTATTTTTCAGAGCCAGAGCTTCAACTGTGTGGAAAAGACTAAATGTTCAGGATCTAATGTGAGTTCTGTGCAGATGCAGGGAGATTCAGATTATTTCATCAACCATCTTGGAGTACCTGCCACGCAGTTTTCTTACGAGGACGTCAAAACATCAGAGGTAGTTATAAATAAAAATAGGCAAACTGAAAATAGCAGAAAGGTAGAATTAGATTTTCTCAAGTTCTCTTTTCATGACAAGCATGTTGTAGTGGAAAGTTAACTCTTGGAAGTACATTTTTTTAGCTCTTCAGGTGATGACCAGAGAGTTTAGAGGTGACTTACTTTATATGGGCATGGCATTCAAATGAACTGATACATGTTTTGAGCAAATGAAAAGCAAAAATAAATGTGAGAGTGTTATGTTAAAAATGTTCATCTTTCTGATAGTATTATAAGGAATGTATTGTCTTACCCAACTTTTCAGAGTGCTTTCAAAGTAGAGGAGACTAATTTTGATGAGTATTTTTTTCCTGCAGGGGATGAGAGTCTTCAAAATGAATTTTATATCCATTTTCATACTGTTGGCTGTAAAGATTTGTGTGCTTGATTGTAGTCTTCAAAACACCATGTTCTTTTTTAGTCTGTTGTTCTCTGCAAGATAAGTGGAAGGGAAAGGCATGTTATGCTGTTTGGGGACCAGGTTGTAATTGGACACAAACTGTTAGTTTTGGACACAAACGAAGTTTCTCCTTCCTCAGCCATTAGTATTGTAGGTTATATTTGTACCTGAACAGGTCAAACTTACCCTCTCTTGGTCAGCTGAGGATTGGAAGCCTAGCATTAGTTATTTCAAGATACACTGGTGCAAGGAGAAAAGCTGTGTTTACTTGTAATGATAACAATGCGTTGACTTAAAATCCCCTTCTTTTCTCTTCTTGCACTGTGCTTATCTACATAAGCACACACATCTTTCCAAGTTCAAGAACAAAGCTGATTCTGAGTTGAACTAGAATGCGTCCTAGCACTGCATGCTGATAGATTTCTGTACCACAAATGCAAAGCAAAATAGAAATACTGCAAATATTGGAGACTTGTGATGTTGTTCTGTAAATTAAATAGATTAAGTCAAGAATTTTTATAAATAATGGGACTGCTGTTTCCACGTATCACTGCACCTATTAAGCAAAGTATTCTATTTCAGATGAAATGCTAGGCAAAGGCAGTAAGGAAAGTGTGAAGGCAGAAGATCCATGAGTGCATTGTTTATGACAAGATTCTGGACCAGTGCAAATTGCTTGTGTCACTTAGCAGGTTTTCCACACAGTTTTCATTCCAGATCTATATGTGCAGGATCTGGAGACCATAGGAAAGAATCTACGAACTTCATTATATCAAAAAAATAAGTATTTCCCAGCAACATCTACAGTACGAACACTGAAGGTTCCTTTGGCTGTTTTCTATTTCAATCCCACCAAAATTATTCTTCATGTTCAGTTAATTTTGCAGATGTGCAATTTTGTCTGTCATAATTACTCAGGAATGTAATTAAAATCATAAAAGGAAATATTTTTGCTTAAATATGACAGCAAGTTTGGAAATTCAGTTGAAAACTCAGCTTAGGTCCTTCTTGCAAAATAATTTCCTAGAAATAATCTTGTGATAAGTGTAATCTGCACTCTTGAAATTCATGTAATTTACCTCTCAGACAGTAGGAGACCATGAGCCCATCTATTTCATGTGAGAAATAAGTCTGCTTAGCAAAATGTCTAAGTTTGTGTTGGCAAGAGGATGGATTTTTTCCTAAAAATTAAGTTACACAGGATCAAAGTTGAATTATTTCCTATATTTTTGTCATGTATGGTACTGATTATTGACACTCCATCAAAATATATGCTCATTGTCTCTCCTACTTTGCAGTAGTCTTCCAGGGAAGCAATTTGCTTTTTGTTTAACATTTATTGCAGGTTTTTATTGGGGATTCTGTTTATTGTATCAAGCAGAGGTGTACTGTTGTAAGGCAGACAAATTATTCTGGGTTTACAACTGTAATAATAGACATTCGAGGAATTTCTCTTGTGCAGGTTAGTGTCTGAAAGTAGTGTGTTGAGTTGCAGACAGAGATTTTTGCTTGTTTGTTTTTAAGTCATTCCTCTTTTTGAACTATGCCTCAGCTTCATTGCAAAACAAGGTTTGGATTTGGGAAAACAGATTTCAGAAACAGGATGTTTTGATGTGCTTTTGTAGACCAGCATTTTGCCACATTGGTTTCCTCTGCTGACTCTGTAACTGCTGTGACCTATGCAGGAAATTTTCTTCTGGAATATACATTAGTTGTTCATTTTATCTTCCCATCAGATAGAATGCAGTGTCACATAAAACTGATGCTGTTCCACACTCAAAAAAACCACCAAAACCAGTTTCAGAGTTAAAAAGCCCAAGACTTGTGCCTTGTAGTCTGCCTACAGAGCAACAGTTACAGGTCAGCTTCAGAAATACGTTTCTTACACAGTTAAGTGTAATGCCAGTCCTCAGAGAGGGTTGTAAAAGCTTTTCATTGGCAGGAACTAGAGGAGTAAATAAGAGGAAATAAAAATTTTAAGAGGAAACATTCTGACCAGGAGATTAAGTAAAACTGTCTTGTTTGAAATTACCTAGTGCAATGACTCTCTCAGCCTCAGGGAGGTTAAATTTGTGTGGCAAATACCTGTGGTCAGATCTGTGAGCTAGTTAAGTGCATTCTAAGTTTTCAACCCCTAGTACAAAAATGCCTTGAGTGAAATGCACCTTTTTTATTTGCTAGCAGAAAATATGTAGCATTTTAGTCTGCCGGTAAGAAGTAAACTTGGAAGGATTTCTCAAGTGGAACAAAACATAGTATTAACCCAATTTCCAAGGGTGCTCTTACGGTTGCTCAATTAAGCCTTCCTCTCCTCCTGTACTCTGATGCGCTGGTTTTACCTCCTTCTGAGGGTAAAGTTCTGATTTGTAATTTAGTAGGAGAAAGACTGTTCAGCTTTTCCTAATACAGACTATTTTACTTTGAGGACTAGCCATGCCATTCAATTTCATGATGAATTTACATCCACGCAGAGAAGTAATGTTGATTTCAAATGTGAGTTTATCTACTGCTAAAGGTCAATGATAATAAGTCTTACTAGTCTTCACCTCAGTGGATAATAGTATTAGAAACACCTCCACTTAGCTTTACATCAACAAGAAAAAGCAGCATAAAGTAAAGGAGTTCTTTGATCACAGGCTTACCTTTGTTATGGTAAGAACTCTGTATCAATGGAATTACTCAGTTGTGTGATTATCAGCTCTTGTTTACTTGATTTTAAATAACTGAAATCTCTGGATATGATGGTGTATGATGTGACAAGCATGCATTTAGTTTCTATTTGAATTCTTCATTGTTGTTCTATGTGAATGGATACACATTGACTGTGTGCCTGTGTAATGGAAAATACTGCTTTATAACTTAATTGCTTACCCTGTTTCTCTTCTCTTACAGGTCTTTTAAAAATCTTTTTCTGTTGCTTTTTGGCATCTTTTTAAGTTTGCATGTTACATTTTGCATTTATTATGTAAAAATTTAATACCAGAACCAACTGTATGGTCTGGAAAATATTGTTTTGGATCCTGTCTCTAGCTGTAGTTTTACCTCTCAGAGAGACTTGGAACTTCAGCCATTCATCCCTACTTCATTTTCTAACAAAGGGGATTTTTTCTTTTTTTCTTTTTTTCTTTTTTTCTCTCCCTTACTTCTTTAAGCTTCACCTTGTTTTTATATGAGCATCACCCCGTATAATTATCCCTCTTCTTGGTGGAGCAACTTAAAAATGTAGTTTGCTTGGCTGGATTCAACATTATAATCTGATGGCCACACTTGCCTTTTATCCTTAGGAGAAGGGGACAGAGGAAAGTACTTTTTACAAGATCTGTCTTTGGAAGTGTAGTAGTGAACTTCTGCAATAAAGAGAAAGAACCAACCCTGTAGTTGCAAGTTAATTCATTTTGATTATCTCTCTCTTAGCACAGTTTACAGCATATTTATATGCTGTATATATTTATAGTTGCTGAAGTACTGGAACATAAGTAAATCACAGACACTGAGAAAAAAAACCTTGCAGTGGCTGTCTAATGGTTTGGTACAACAGAAAATATAATCTGGATTTGCCATGGTTTCAGTTAGAGTTTTGACTGTTTCCTCAGCATTGTAAATCAAGCAACATTAAACTCTTCATCATTTTGAAGCTGTCCTGATCACTTGCAAATGTAAACTGGTACAGAAGCATTTTGAGATTTTTTTTTCAAGATGGAAATAGTCAGTTACTATCCATTTCTATGTTGTTGCAGTCAATGGTTTCATGAGGAATCTTTTTTTTTTTAAATTATAGCTAGGTGATTTCCTATCTTATCTGCATATTGTCCTTCTGAGAGCATCCCAATTACATAATGATTCCTATCTTAATCTAAAACCCTTTCTCTGATAATGTTGTAGGTTACTTCACTGTTAGCATTAGCATTTTGTTTTGAGAAAATCTAAGTTACTCCCCTCTTTTTTTTATTTATTGATGGACACATATTTAGCATGAAATATTTTATGGTAGCTGTCCAAGTTTGGGTATGCAGGGCTTACAGCACATTTACACCTAGACCATAAAAGTTGTTTTCTGTGTCTTCACTCAAGCTTAAGTACAGGCAAGAAGTATAAAAATTATCTGTCACATTATTCACAAGCTAGACCAAGATAGTGTAATACCATGGACCACTAAGCTAATTTAGAAAAAAAAAAATGAGAGGTTTCTTTATAGAAGGCGTTTGTATGTAATATATGTAGAAGAGTTTAGAATTTTGGCAGTTTGAGACTGTATCCTCTTTAGACAGAATGCATAATGATTTTTATTTCTGTTGAAATATGCATAACTTTTTGAAGGTAACTTTCAACTTTCATTAGAGCCCTTGAAAGTGATTTTCACTCACGCTGGTGTAAAACAGAGGCCACTAAATCTTAACTCTTCAATGAATGTGGCTTCTCAGTTGTTTCTACAGCCTGGCTCTGCTTCTTTCCTTTCCCTGGTGTGCCCTCTTCTCTTCCTGTTTTATCACTCTTTGGGGAAACAGTGCAGTCTCTTGATTTCAGTGTTTACATGCTTAGGCTGACACATCATGCATTTC